TGTAAGTAGTAAATGTAAGAAATGGAAAATAAATATTAAAAGTTAAAACTAGTGTTAAACTGATTAATTAAATACTAAGTTACTAACCCAATAGACTGGCGAGATGTATAGAAATTTATAGTACTTGTCAGGCATAAGGTTACACTTCTCATTTAACAAAAGGACAAAAATATTTACATGTTCATTGCCTAAATAATTGTCGCTTAATAACTCGTCAATGTCAGCTCTAGAATTAAGAAGGTTATCAACAAACAAGACGCTATCGTCTCTGAGAAAAAACATAAAATATGCATTTCATACGCATACCATACGCGTACCATACGCATAACATATGCATATAATACGCATAACATACGCATAACTCACGCATACCATACGCATAGAAATATGATTTCATAACAGTTGCAGTTTTTACCTTTGATTGAACTTCTTCAAACATTCATACATAAAAATAGGGGTGTCAATTACGGGTCACGGGTCGGGTTCGGGTCAAACCCGAAACTGACCTGGTACTATTCGGGTCAACCCGAACCCGACCCGTTTCTATAAACGGGTCGGTTTTCTAGACCCGAACCCGACCCGACCCAAATGACCCGATTCGGACAAAAAACTGCTAGTTTTCAGGTCCAAAATGGGTCAAACTCTGCTACGCGTGTAATCTCTACACCTACCAGTCACCGCATAACATACGCATATAGTACGCACAACATACGCATTGAGTACACACAACATATGCATAGAGTACTCGGTGCTTAAAATTTAGTTATGGTTTATGTTTCAAATTTCAACATAAATTCATAAATCATAAATACAGAGAAAACATGATGACATCAAAGTATCAAACATTTAAAAAGTTTTGAGAAGCAACACATACACATAGCGTAAGCATAAAATACAAATAACTTTAAAATCTTGAACACCTACGCATAGTATAACCATAAAATACACAGAACGTAACAGAAAACATGGCAGCAAATCACCTTTCTCTTTGGAGGTGACGACATCTGAGAAGGAACTAAGTGAATGCTTGAAATTGCTCCGGAGCGAATGCTTGAAAGTTGTAATGTTTGATGGAAGTTGAAAACCGAAACGCCGCGTCTGCCATTCGACCTTTACCAGGGCTTAAATGTTGATGCCACGTTGACATCTCACTATGCGCGCCACGTCGGTTATTGAGGGTCCGAACTGAAAAAAAATATTAGGTAAATTTTTTTAGAGGCGGCACCTAAAAATTGTGAGGCGAGATGCACCTTATGGTGCGTCTCAGTAAACTTGAGGCGTAAGCCTCATAACCTGAATTTATTGTGTGGGCTTTGAGGCTTAAAGGGACCATATTGCACTGAGGCGCGCCTTTTATTGCGCAATTTTAAACCATGGTTCCAGCCACCTCAAGGGTTACCATCACTCAGAGAACAGGAGCATGCAAACCTTCTAAAGGAGGGGGTGTCACCGTAGTGTACGACCTTACTGCTACCTCTAGATTCAGAAGGATGAAATTGAGCAGCTGATTTGGGAGATGTTGGAAGCTGAGATCATCAGACCAAGTGTGAGTCCCTTCTCTAGCCTAATATTACTGGTCAAAAAGAAGGATGGGAGCTGGAGGTTTTGTGTAGATTATAAGGCGTTGAATAAGGAGACTGTGCCGGATAAATTTCTCATTCCGGTGATTGACGAGCTTTTGAATGAACTGTATGGAGCAGTGATATTTTCAAACTGGATTTAAAGTCGGGATACCATCAGATTCGAACGAGGGAGGAAGACATCTCAAAGATAGGTTTCCGGACACACGAGGGGCACTATGAGTTTCTAGTTATGCCTTTTGGGCTTACCAACACCTCTGTTAGTTTCCAGTCACTGATGAACAGGATGTTCGGACAGTATCTCTTGAAGTTTATGCTAGAGTTTTTTGATGACATCTTGGTGTACAACATAATTGGGGAGCATCTTAAGCACTTGAAGTTGGTATTGGGAGTTCTACAGGAGCATCAGCTGAGGGCCAACCTGAAGAAGTGCTGCTTTGCCCAAACCAGTGTGGAGTAATTGGGCCATATCGTGTCCAAGGAAGGGGTGGCAGTCGATCAGTCAAAGGTGGAGGCTATGTTGAGATGGCCCTTACCTAGGAATATGAAGGAGTTGAGAGGATTCTTAGGGATGACAGGGTAATACAAGAGATTCGTAAAAGGGTACAATACTATAGCGTGGCCACTGATAGAGCAGCTAAAGAAAGATGGATTCTTTTGGGGAGAGGCAACTACAACAACATTTGAGAAACTGAAGAAGGCTATGACCACGGTAGCGGTATTAACTCTACCAAACTTCACTCGGGCCTTTATAGCGGATACAGATGCTTCAGGATATGAATTGGGGGCATTACTCATGCAGGAGGGACAACCCGTTTCCTACTTCAGCTAGGTGTTGGCAACCAAAGCAAGGCTGAAATCAGTACTTTTTGGAGGGAGTTGTTCATATTACAGGGGACAGTTATGAAGATGAGCGCCGCTTACCACCCACAGACAGATGGCCAAATGGAAGTGGTTAATAGGAGCTTGGAGACCTACTTGAGATGCTTTGTGTTAGAGACACCCAAGCTGTGGGCCAAGTGGCTATCATGGGCGGAGTATTGGTACAACATATCTTTTCACTAGGCTTCACAGATGACTACATTCAAGGTGTTGTATGGAAGGGACCCTCCATGCTTTGTGCACTTTGGGAGTAGCAGTACTCCAGTTTCTTTAGTGGAGGAGTACTTGGGGGAGAGAGATCGAGTGTTAGAGGAATTGAAGAAATCTTTACTGAGAGCTCAATAGATTATGAAGAAACAAGCTGATGGGCATAGGAAGGACATCCAGTTTGAAGTGGGAGAGAGGGTGTTCTTAAAGCTCCGACCATACCGGCAGAAGATAGTTGCCAACAGGACAAATGAGAAGCTCGCTCCAAGATATTTTGGACCTTATGTAATTTTGAAAAAAATTGGAGCAGTAGCATATCAGTTGAAACTACCACCCACGGTGACTATTCATCTGGTTTTCCATGTCGCAGCTCCTCAGCCATTTTTGGAGGGAGTTGTTCAGATTACAGTGGACATTTCTGAAGAGGAGCGTTGCTTACCACCCACTGACAGATGGCCAAACGGAAGTGTTTAACAGGAGCTTGGAGACCTACTTGAGATGCTTTGCATCGGAGATACCCAAGCTATGGGCCAAGTGGCTATCATGGGTGGAGTACTAGTACAGCACCTCTTTTCACTAGGCTTCACAGATGACTCCATTCAAGGTATTGTACGGAAGGGACCCTCCATACTTTGTGCACTCTGGGAGTTGCAGTACTCCAGTTTCTTTAGTGGAGTACTTGGGGGAGAGAGATCGAGTGTTAGAGGAATTGAAGATACATCTACTGAGAGCTCAACAGATTATGAAGAAATAAGCTGATGGGCATAGGAAGGACATCCAGTTTGAAGTGGGAGAGGGTGTTCTTAAAGCTCCGATCATACCGACAGAAGACAGTTGCCAACAGGACAAATGAGAAGCTCGCTCCAAGATTTTTTGGGCCTTATGTAATATTGAAAAAAATTGGAGCGGTAGCATATCGGCTGAAACTACCACCCACGATGACTATTCATCTGGTTTTCCATGTGTCGCAGCTGAGAAGAGCCATTGGAGATTATACAACCAGCTCGGAGTTATCGCTAACGCTTACTGAGGATTTGAAGGTGATTCTGGAACCCTTAGAATTAATGGGGGTCGCCAGAAAGAAGATGGAGCTAAAGAAGTACTAATCCAGTGGAAGAATCTACCTGACTATGATGCCACGTGGGAACTATATAAGAGGGTGAAACAGCAGTTTCCTAGTTTTCACCTTGAGGACAAGTTAATTCTTTGGCAGGGCGGTATTGATAAGCCGGTTCATCCTGAACCGGCCCAGCGGTTGGCTCACTTGTACATGAGGCGGAACGGGTCCGCCTCCTTTAGTGCATGCCGCCGACATATGTGAGCCCCACTTGGAGCAAAATTGGGGGAGAAGGTTTGGGCGGCTAGGATGAGAGGGAAAATTTTAATGAGGGAAGTTTGAATTAGGAAATTAATTGTATTAATAGGATGGTTTGTTTTAGGGTTAGGGTTATGCATGATTTGAGTTTCTCTTGGAGTACCTTGGCGTTTTGGCTCTAGATTGCTTTGTCTAGAGATTGAGAGAGAACGATCCTCCTTTCGAATTGAGGATCACTTGTGTCTTGCTTCGTGTTTGTTTGGCTTTGATTTCCTTGTTGCAATAGAAAGTTTTGTGGCTGATTTTGGTCCAGATTTTACGTTATTATCGCTGTTTTCCCCAATTAGTGATAGGTTTGCTTGCAAACTCAAGTATTTCCTATCAATTTAACATCAAATATTTCATGAATCTATATTTCGTGAAAAATTGTTGTTTGTATTAGTGTAATTTCTGCTTTACCTTTTATAACAATTGTTCTGCCAATTACATATAAATGTCCTAATGTTTTACTATTTGAAAACTTTATATGAGTTATCTTTATTTTTATATTGTATGCAAATTGAAATCATATGATTTCATGCCATTTAAATGTAATTGAAATGGTAACATGTCAATTTTTAGAATCCATCTGATTAGGAATTAACTCTGGATATACTGACCCGATTTTTTCCTATGAAACCCTTACCTTTTGCCACTTATAGGAATGAAAATAGATTGGAATGCTTCAGATATCAAATAACCCTATCTATTTTATTAATCAAAGATCATAAGGATACTACGTTTCCATGTGGATTTGATGTGAATTAGTTGTACTTGGAGAACATGTGATTCATTTTGAACCCTATGGGGTTTATGGTCATTGCCATTCACCAAAAATATGAACTAAAATTCTTGTATTTATTTGTTCAGTTCTGGTGTTTCGCTTTTATTTTATAATTTTGAAGTTTTTTTTTTTCCATGGATAAATTCATTCAGTTTTGGTAGGTGAAATGCTATTTACTTGCTATTTTATTTAGGCTGTGATGAAGTCTCATCCACACCCAGAGAGACCTGATCGCCTTAAAGCCATTGCTGCCAGTCTTGCTGCGGCAGGTATTATGTTTAATTTCTCTGTTTACAAAAATTGATTTTGTTTGTCATGCTTTGTTTCTATAAGTTTTATGCAGGTCATGTGTTTATGTTCCTCTAGCTGTAGCTTCGCCTTTATTATTAATAAATGCTGTTTCTAACTAGTTGAATTAAATCGACACTTACAAATTTTCTTTGAGCAGAAATTGGCTCTCTCCTGCATGATATTTACTTTTTGGCATGGCGTTTTCTTACTGCTTTGCATTCTTATTTTTTACAAAGCACGTATTGCATTACTTAATCCATGGATTTATATCCTTGTTGATGAGGTAAAGCATAGAAACTTCTGTGTAAAATATTTAGAGGATCCAGCTGAGCTTAAATTCTTGCTCATAATTATTTATTTTAAACCATTGTTACTGCCAATTTGTATTTTTATGGTCCTAAAGGTTCTTGTGAATAAAAGTACGTTTTTGTTGATGCTTGCAGGAATATTTCCTGGAAAATGCACGCTAATACCTGCCAGAGAAATCCAACTAGAAGAGCTCCAGAAGGTAAAGTGCTTAAGGTTCAATTTCTTTTTTGATAGTTTAATTTCAGTTTTGGACCTTCATGGCTTAAAGAGGTCAATTATTTGTTGTCAAGATTTTGAGTCATTGGTGAAATTGTTTTTGCCTGGGTTCTTTAATGACCATGACTAGGGTTCTTTGCTGTATGTTTCCTATTCCTTGATTTTTGGATTCCATTTGTTAGAATGAACAAGTTTATTCAGATTTTGTCTTTGACTGCAGGTACACTCATCAGATCATATTGAAGCTGTCCAACAATCAAGCTGCTTGCTTTCAAGGTACTCTGGAAGTATATTTGCGTTCCAATTTGACACCGAACTGCAAAGTTTTCAAGATTAATCCTATGTAATGACTTAAAGAAAGAATTTAGTGCAACCCAATCCACAGGAAAAGAAAAGCCTACTAGAAAGCAAACACAACTTATGGTGATAACTATACACACAAGCCCAAATGCTTATAAAACCAATTGAAATAAAGGTTTTGAACATCTCCAAGTATAGCTTTCAGGTTTTCTCCAGTCAACTCCTTCCTATATTTACTGGAATTGCTCCTAGTACCTTGCTACTCATGTCCTAATACCTCTACACCTCTTGACGAGTTTTCCAGCCTAATTTATGGCTGGTGGCCCTCCGACCAGTTGAGAAAAACGGGACCAAGAGTTGCTGGATCATTTTGCAGCCAACCTGCATGCAAATAAGGTTTCAAGGACAATTAATCTAATGATTGGATAATAGCGAACTGGTTTTTTTTAGAAGATACGCTTGAATCAAGAAGTCAACATCATTGTTTCCCCAACTCAATGGCTGCTGTTCTATATTCAAGAAGCATTGATAACCAGCAACCTTATTTGAAATGTTTCTTGATGTAAGCAATTAGCTGGAGATGTGAAGGTGGACTAGAATTCCTTGCATCCTTGCGCAGATCAATCTCACGACCCTAACTGACAGCTTCCTATACTGATTCATGACTGGAATTTTCTAGAAAATGCAGAATTTGTGTTTCCTCCAAGCATGGCTGGAATTCAGCCTAATAGCAGGCTGAAACCCTTTTTTCCTTCCCAGAACCAATGGCAATTGCTCCAATCTAGCACAATGCTGCTGAAGTAGGGGAGGAACTTCTACGAGGAAGGGAAAGGAGGTCTTGGTACTCAATCTTAGCGAAATCTTGGACTCCTCTATGATTCCTCACTCCTCACCTCCCCTCAAACTACGGATTCCATCATATTTTCAGAAAAACCTAAAACTCAATCTTAAAACAAAAAAAAAAGAAATAAAAAATTTATCCTCAAAAGAAAAAGAGAAATTTATAAACATCCATAAGGCAAAAAAGTCAATAAATTACTATACTACCCATATATTTATAAAAAAGAAAAAATAAGGACATAAAACATAATAAAAATCGAAGGAAAAAAAAAGCACTTAACTAGCGAAGAAGATTTAAAAGCTAATCAAACATAAAACCCTATCTCAGCTGCTTTAACTTGATATGCAGTCAACCTGGTGGAGTACAAGTTTTATGATTCCTTAAGTTTTTCTACTATTTATTTCCCGGTCTATTTCACATCAATGAAAACTAAATATTCTTCCTAGTTCTTTTGATTTTTTCAATTTTCTATTCCCTCTTTAATATCCTCTGGTTTATAAGGTATGATTTGAATTTCCTTGTATTTTACTAATTTTGTTGTAGCATGGTTGGTTCTTAAGAAATAGGGATTGTTTCGAGTTATTCCGAAATTTGTTTAACATTGGTTCGTTAAACATTTTTGTATCTGGTTTATGACTGAATTAACAGGGTGATTGGTGTCAAAATGTTCAATTTCATCTGATACCTTTTCAAAACCTGATTTTAGATCAATTTCTAGAGGAATATTTTACTGTCAAGAAAATTTATTGTGCCTTGAATTTAATTTGTAAAAAGATGATGCTATCAAGAATTTATGTGCTTTTTATTTTATTTGAACAATAGTATATTTTGTTTTCTATTTTCTTTTCTTTTCTTTTTTAGCTATCCAATGATGGGAAAGCATCCAATGATCATGGTAGGTAGTGCATATGACTTGGTAGACTTTTGGTTTGCTGGCTCGATTGGTCCCTAGCTGTTGGTGGTTCACGGGTTGGCTGTTTTGGAGCATTCAGTTTTGAGCTTGTTCTCTAAGTTGCTTGAGCTGAAGTTTTGTAGCTCTTTAATTCTCAAAAGGTACCTCATTATGAAGTTTACTTTTGGAGTGGCCTTGTCCCTTCCCCTTCCCCTTTCTTCTTGTCTCTTTAATTTAACCTACAAATTCGATTTATGTGAGGAACTCGCTCTGACGGTTGTCTGAGGATAGCGTTTTTTTTATTTCTTTAAAATCTCCTAGCATCTTTTGTTGTGTTTTTCTAGTTTTGGGTCGTTAGCGTTTATTTAATACAATTTGTTTTAAGTTCTACTCATTGTGTCAGATTTCTTCTTGTGTGTCTATTGTGCTCAAGAAATATAGGGTCCCGTATCTTTCTTGTCTACATCAAAAGATAAATTTAGAGTTATGAAAGAGACAATTATAACAATGACATAGTATATTAGAACAAGCAACATAGAAAGATTCATTTATAAATTATTATATATTTTATATTACCATCATTAATTTTATCCCAACTATTTGGTGTTGTTATTATGAATACTCTTTTTTTATTTGTTCATGTTAAGTGTTGCTTGAAGTGTTAAATCATGGTTGCAAATGAATAGAACCAAGCTGAGCAGGTGCTTGTTTATTACCAGATTGTTTGTGCTTTGTTCGAGCCTTATTTGAGCTTTTTTATTTGCGTTCAAATTTGGTTCGTGTGGAATCATAGACATTTGAGCTTGGTTTAGCTCAATTATTATTAGGTTCGTATTGTGCTTATCGAGCTTTAAACGAGCAACTCATTTAAAATAAGATATTAATAAGCTCAATAACCAAATGTGTCTTATCAAGATTATTAGCAAACAAATCTATCGAACCATTTAATGAACAAACTGATTGTGCCTTACAAGCCCATAAACAAGCAAACCTAACGAGTAGTTGGTCGAGTTTAGATTATCAAACCTAACGAGTAGTTTCTAAATCAACACTCAAATTAAGCATTCCCATCAAACATACATAAATACCTTATGCTTATAAATAAAATCAATCTAACAAGAAAACACAACACAAGCAAAAACTTTTGTACCTTAGATAAATTAAAATTAATTTATTAAAGTAAATTACTTGTATCATATTGGGGTTTGCAAAATAATCTAGAATCCCTATTTGAATAGTTAGACATAATTGGGAAAACGAAATAATTAGCACACAATCCATTATCCGCCCTAAGAAACAAAGGAACTTTTATTCGGTCCAGTGAACGTACGCTCCTCTACATTCGGCCACCAATGTTTTAGCGCCACGTAGCATGAAGAAAAGTCGCCGACCCGACCCGCTGTTTTTTGGGTTCTCGCACATGCGTTATTTTAAATCCTTACAAGCCGAACAGCATCCGAATTACCTTTTGCATATATTTCAAATATTTATCAATACTATAGATTTTCATTTGGATATACTAGAATCAAAGACGAATCGACTTCCTGTAACTATTCATTTCCTTCGTAGTTCGCAAGCAAATCCCGTGATTTTGAGGCAAAGCTCCAGTCGAAAACCTCCACAGATATAATGCCTGAGGTTAGAAATTATTGCCGAAGAACTTTCCTTCTTGTTATATAGTTCATCTTGTTTAAAAATTAAAAAAAAACGTATGTTTAGGGTTAGGGTTAAGTTAGTATCGTTCTGTTCTAGTATAAAAAACTGAATGCACACTGTCAGGACGTTTTGAAATCTTGGTAATTTCGTAGTTTGCCGTAATACTCGGTACTAATCGGTATTCGGTACTGATCGATGTTCCTCGGTATTGCTCGGTACACGTCGGTACAGGGTATTTATCAGAGAAAATGCTCGGTATTTAAAAATAATATCTGAGTATTTCATTATAATATAATATTCTTTGCTGCTCGGTATTGGTTGGTAATGCATCTCAGTACAACTCGGTACAAACCGGTAAACCTCGGTACAACCCTTTCTTTAGGAGTAAATCTCGGTATTTACACTAAATATTTGATTATTTTATATATAATATAATGTTATATGCTGATTGGTACTCGGTATAACTAGGTACAGTCGGTACAACTCGGTATAATTCGGTACAACTTTTTTTTGAGAACTAATACTCGGTATTTACAATAAATATATGAGTATTTTATATATAATATATTGTTATATGCTGATTGTTAGTGCTCGGTACAAGCAGGTATACTCGGTACACCTCGGTACAACGCTTTTTTTTTGTTTTTAATACTCGGTATTGGTCGATATTATGATAATACAGCATATATCTGATCGAACATCTATTTTATTATACAGGGATATTGCCTTAAGATTCATTTTAGATGTCAAACTTCAAGTTTTAGAGAAGTTTGTAATGAGATAGTTCTGAAATTTGGGGAGTCGTTTGTTACAAGCCTACGGGAGCTACATATTAATCAGTTCCTATACATGCCTCTATTCCCTCAGAATGTCCCAATTGTTTATATGTTATTGTCGACGTGGGACATACATTCTGAAAGTTTTGTTATTAAAAGTCATACGTTAGCTTTCACATCTGATGAAATAGCTTTGATTATTGGCTTACCGAACAGAGGAATTAAGTTTGAACCAAGGACTGCTACAACGGGCCTCCACTATCAGATGAAGGGAAAGGAAATTCCTCATGTTCAGATGGGCTCACAACCTCTTCCATCCCTTTAAAATCTACTTCTTTGGTTATTTCCTCAACAATTTTATCAACAGATTTGGATACTTCGTCCAAATTGTTATTGTTAGATTCAGTTCTTGAAGATGAGGGAACCGGAGTTCCAATTCGCTCTGACTTGAAATAGGCAGGAAAATGATGACTCATGATTTTATATATACCACAAAATTTTTTATTATTCTCATCTTTTAAGTCGAATACTTGTTGTTCCAATACTGCTACCCGTCTTTCAAGTATAGTATTTGACAGTTCGATTGATCCCATTTTTTTGACTATATAGTGCTGCTGCATAATAAATTTATATATGGATTGATTTAGAATATTTAAGTTCGTTTCTTCAGGAATAGAATGATCTACATCAGGTTTTGGGGTAAATTCTATTGGGCTTGGATGTTTGATTGGAGAATCATTCTGGATTGGTGGTTGGATAGTAAATTCAGTGTGGATTGGCGGTTGGATAGGAGAGTCAGTGGGGCTTGGCG